TTTTTTTTTTTTTTTTTTTTTTTTTTCTTTCGTCTTCCTCTTCCCCACTTGCCCTCCCCCTCTCCACTTCAGATGTTCAACCTCAAATCAGCAGAGGGATCGAAACCACTCCGCTGCCGTTCAGGGGGGAAACACCCCTTTCTGCAATGCAAGTCTAATGACAGAAGAGTGAGTATTGCACGCGGAGAAGAGGATTGGGAAATATGTATATATATATATGTCATAATTGTATTTTCATTAAATGGATTGTGCTTTGAAAAGAGAGGAAATTCTTATATCTGAAATTTCGTCTTTCAGACATTCATCTTAAAGAAAGAACAAAACATTTTCAAATCTTGTCTCTGGCTCTTTTTAACTTGCATTCCTGTAAAGTGGACAAAGATTGGATTAGTCTAATTACAGGATGGTTCTTTTAACAAGAAATCTGCTACAGAGAGGTCTAAAATGGCCTAAATAATTAAAGTTTTCTTTCTTACCCTCTTCATCTTAAGCAATGAGTAATGTTTGAAGTCCAGACTGAGCCACCTGACTAGAGCCTTTCATTTTTAATTGGTTGACCTTAAGTCCACCAGCTGTCTTTGCTAGCAGCTTTTTTTCTGAAGCCACTCTACAAAGACTTAGAACAAATTAGGAAGACTAAATTACTGCGGACTAACACTTTGTGACCTTTTGACATGCCAAGTGTACATTGCCTCAGAAGCAGTTGTAGATTTGGCTGCATGGTATTCACTAGAGTGTTGCCATTTTGCTGGGTAATATTGTTTTAATTATTCTTTAAGAAGGGTTTCTTAGTGCAAACGACAAGATCCAGTTAATTTTGTCCTCACCAGGGGAAAATAAGATTACCTGTGTGCTTCAGGTGAAGAATCTGGCAGTGGTTTTGCTTTGTTAGCTTTTGGTGGTTGCAGGTGGTTTTGTGCAGGAGAAGGAAGCTTGGCAGATGCTGTGTATGAAGGCAGATGAAACGAGCCTTTTAAAAATCAGATGTGTACGATACTGGGGCTCGCTAGGTTGGGGCTTAGCCCATGGTGAGCCCTACGCACGCTCGCCTGGCCTGCAGTCCAGCTCTGATGCTTCCAGCAAGCATCTAACCTCCATCCCTCAGTTTGTCCTATCCATAAAATGGGCTGAGGGCTTTGCAGCCCGTAGCTGGGCGCTTTGCAATGCTGAGACTCCCACCATCACAGCGAGTAGGAGCTGTTGTGGGAGCCCAGCAAAGGGCTGTGCAAACGCAGCATCACAAATTCACAGCCAGTACAGGAACATTTTGACTTTTCGGGGCACACCCAGGGTATTTCTGACCAGTGTTATGTGGCAGAAACACTGCTGGACTGAGTGTGGTGAAACAGCCCGTTCTCAAATGGTAACGTCGAGGGGTTTGTGTGTGTTTTCTGTTTTTCAGTCACAAAGAGCCAAAGAAACCGCCAGTTGTTCACACCTCTCAGTGTAGTGAGTTGGTTGTCACCTATTTTTTTTGTGGAGAAGAAATTCCCTACAGGAGGATGTTAAAGGCCCAGAGCCTGACACTTGGGCACTTTAAAGAACAGCTGAGCAAAAAGGGAAATTACAGGTAAGAATCTCTCATTCGTTTATAATTCAGTATATTCTAATAAACCAAAAGAATCGGCAGATATTTTGCAGGTCTACCCGCAATGACACATTTACCTCACTTTTCAGAGGCTGTAGATCTTTTTTTTTTTTTTTCCCCCACTCAAACCAAGAGCAACTTGGGAGATGGAGAAAGGGGCAGTGGCTTGGCTGCGGGGCCACCTCCTCTCCATCTCCCTCCCCGCCGTTGAAGGAGGATGCAGGCGGGCAGAGCTTCATGCTCCAGCCCTTGGCCAAAAAACCTGAATACCAGGAAAAGCTGGGATGGCCTCGTGGCAAAGGCATGGAGCGGTGGGATTCAGTTTCCAAACTGGGATCAGCATTCATCTTGGTGCTGGCCTCCTGCTTTTCCTACTTATTTGATTTTTTTTTTTTTTTTTTTGCAAATGGTGTGGCCCTAAGTGGGGTCTGTGTAAGGGTGGGATGTTGCATCTGAATGGACATGTAGCTGAGGTGCAGCCAGCTCACTTTTCTCTTCATTAGGGGAAAAAAAAAAACCAAACCTCTGCCCTGGAGGGAAAACTCCACCAGCAATACAAAGTTCCTCCTCAAAAACGCCAACAAACCCTGCCTGTCTGGTTTCCAGGGCCCAGCTCCCAGTTTAACCAGTTTGTTGCTTCCCCTGCTCTTCTAGTTCCCATGGCAGTAGCTTCACGTTGGCTATTTTTGCTGTACTTTCCCAGCGGATCTGGGCACTAGTGGGATCATCTGCTGGTCACTTCTCCTGCAGGCTGAGCGGGATGGGGAAGTTCCAGCTTCAAGGTTTGAATTTGCACTGGATTTGGTGGTGCTTCACGGAGCCAGAAGGCTCGCCCTGGAACTGGCAGCCTCAGATTTAACCTCCAAATGGTCATTTGGGTTTGGTACGAGGACTTTTCCAGCTTGTGCTCCATTTCTGGCCCGTCTCTAGCTTTGGCAAGTCCACCTCTGCAGATCAGAAGTGGGTCACCCAGGGGTGCTCTTGGGCTGGGGGATGCTGAGCTGGGATCTGGAGTGGCTGTTGCACGGGGGGGCTGGGGCTGAAATACTGCCAGTCCTTCCCCCAAACCATCTTTGCAGCCCGCCCAGCTGCCATCAGATGGCAGCAACCTGCAAGTACACCCAACCTGGACAACCTGCAGGAGAGGTCCTTGGGCTTCTTGCATCCTCGGGCCATTTTCCAGCCCCTAAAGCTGCTCCCAGCCAGCTGTGTTCCTCCTCCAGCTGATGCAGCCTCACGCCCCAGTTGCAGACTAGTTTCCGTGGCTTCACCACTGGTTTGCCACTGCTCCAGTGGCTATGTAGTCCCACACCCCCCAAAAAATGCTGTTTGTTTGTTTTCTAGAACATTTTTTTGTGTGATGCCCCAGTGCAGGAATAGGCTACTAAAACCTCTGTGGCCCAAAAGCCCCTCCAGGTGCAATTATTTGTGCCTTGTCAGACTGTAATTACTTTAGAAAATGTTTTTAAGTGACTGACAAGGATGAAACAACGTTTTGCTTAGATCTCACCCCTTTACACCTGGGTAAAGACAATACAGAAATTTATAAAAAGAACTTGGGTAGGTGCCCAGTATTTTATCTTGCACAGACACAAGGTGAAACTAATTACACAAATGTGTGTACCTCCAGGGAATCATTTTGATCTAAGCTTTGACTTTTGGCTGGACTTTGAGTGAAACTGCGGGTGACCTTCAGGGAAGAGGTCCGCAGTGCCCGGAGTAGCGTGTGTGTTACGGGGAGGCACTAACTAGGCTGCTTTGGTCACATCTGGCATTGATTTCTTTTTAAGGCACATTTAATAAGCATGTCTTTGAAGCCGTTGCCTTTCATTTAATGCACAAAGACATGCAGAAATGCTCCGCTCTCCAAATTCTTTATTGATTGGATCAGTTTGTGAGGCGGGTACCTCGGGCTCCCGCGATGCCAGAGCCGCACGGCCAGCCCCGC